AAAATAAAAATGTCAAGGGATGCATGAAGTGGATACTAGGTTCATTATAAGTTGTAAAACATGTTTGTACTTTTAAACAATAGCCCATTAGCCCAAAAATCCAAGTTTGGTCACTTTAGGTTTCATACATTTGCTCATGATTTTCCAACTTGCACCAATCATAACTCTCTCAATTTTTGTCATTTGAAGGTGATCTAGGACTTTTTGTAAAGCTCAATATGTCCTCTACAATCTCTATTTTAATCATTTTTTGATTTGAAGAATTTATCTTGATGTAAGTTGCCTTGATAAAAAGTGTCTTTTTGTTGACTTTCGAAATAACTTATAATGTATTGGCCCATATCTCTCAAATGGTGCATTTTTTGAACTTGATCTTAGAGAGAAAAATTTATATAGAATTGAATTTCCTTAAAAATTATATTTGGTTGAGGAAAATCTAATGAAGCATGTGAGAGTTATGCTTGGTCAAAGTTCAGTTGACTTCTCCTTAAGAAAATCCTAATTTGGCAACTTTTGACTTTTGATGATTTGAGAGTTTTCTTGATGAATCCTTATCAACCCTTTATCAAATAATGTATATGACTTCAAAATCTTGATGTTGACCAAAAATATTGAAGTTTGACTGTATGTTGACCACATTTGACTTTTGTTCAATACAATTGATTTTTAGTTATCTGAGCAATTGACTGAGCAAACTTGTAATGTAAAGCATGAAATTTGGTATGAACGTTCTTGGAGACATATAAGGGACCATGAAACCAACTTGAGGAATTATAAACCCATTATTCCTTGAGAAATACAAAACCCTAGTTGTAGGTCAATTGCTTAAGAGGAAAATTTGTCTGATCAATTCTTGAGCAAATGAAAACCTTAGAAGAATGAGGAGATAACTTTGAAAAATGAGAGGGAAAATTTTGGGGTACAACAGTTAGTACCATGGTTTTATGGATTGACAATATTTTTCTAAAACATGGTTCTGACCCGATGTTGTGACATCTTTTTCTGTTATGCAGCAAACTTGCGCTACTGTTTTTTAAATCTTGACAGATTTGATTTAATTCTGTTATATTTACTTTGGATATATCTCAATAAATTTCACAAGTCAAGAAGATTTGTTTTGGAACAGGTTTTATATCTCCAGTTGTACATTAGTTACTAAATTGGGCCTTGAGACAATTTAGGAAACTTTGTAATGTTTGTTCTAAGATTTAAGAAGATTTGACTGCACAATTGGTGCATCACTCAGATTATGGATTAAGAAATATTTGGATGCATAATTCGAAGCTCGTGGGCTGCATAGATGTATTTAAAGATAAGACCTAACCTAATATAATTAAAACTTTCAAAAATTGTAAAATTAGGGGAAGAAAAAATAGTCTTAGATTTTGAGAGTCTCTTGTGTGTTGTGTGGTGTTAGTCACTCTTGTATCTTTTGATACTTGTGGTCGACATTATGTTCTCACTCAGAAGCCTTTAGGCAATGAGTTGAGTTTTGTTCTTGAATGAAGCTTTTAAGTAAATCCAAGCATTGTTCTTAGTCAATAGTATTGGCTAAGTATTGTAATGGAAGTATGATCTTTTGGTTAAGTTATTCTTGATACAGTCACTGGGATTGGGACTATTAGATATCACTAAGGTGATTTAGAAAGTGAGATGGCGATTTCTCATATTTAAGAGGTTTCTAGTTAGAAGTTGCATTGGATATGGATTAGGCGAGAAGTTGTAAATTGAGATTGTTTAGCTTTGAACTAATACTGCTAATAGTAGACTTCTTTCCTAGCTTTGTAGCCCCCAGATGTAGGTGGTGTTGCACCAAACTGGGTTTAAGTTTTGGTATTTGTTATAACTTGATAAATTTGTTCAGTCTGTAAACAGATATTGTAATATACGTTGTGATATTGTTTGTATGTTGTGACATCAGTATTAACATGTGTTGCATGTACCATAGAAATTTTAGTATTCACATGATCAGAGATAATAAGAACAAACATGAGTGCTATAAAGATATCAATAAGGATCTGCGAACTAATATGAGAAATAACAAAGAAGATGAGTTACATAAAAACAATAGGAACAATAATTAAAGGAAACCTAAGAATAACAATACCACTAGATAGGGTAAAAGAATTACGTTGCAAGATGGTCGAGCAGACTTGAAAGGTGGATCTTTGAAAACAATAATTAGTACGAGAATAATGAGTACATGATGAAGCAAAGACAGAAAGAGAAGAATTAGAATCAGTATGAGACCAACTTCGGATGGGATACAAACTAACTGTTAAGCATAAGAGAATACCAAAACAACGGCCCAGATTATCTATATCACAAACAAGATGAGATATCAGAAGAAGGACAAAGAAAAACCAATATGCAAAAGGAGAACTTGAGGCATAACACTAAATGGAGAAACTTACTAGAGGGAACCATGAAAAAAGCTCAATCACATAACAATAACAACATCAACATCCGTAAACATATGCCTAAGTCCATATCTAAAGAAAGAGACCATAATGGAAACAACACTTTCGAAAATAGTAACGATAACTCTAAAACGAGTGATAGTCTGAGGATTCATAGATGAACAACTCAGAATGATCACATGCAAGCGAAAATAAGGAATGAATAGCGGTATGGAGGTATATCTATCCAGGATAAGTACATGCAAACAGAGATCAGGGACAAAGATGACTTCAACAACAACGATAATAAAATACTCATTGTGTGATTCCTGAAAAACAAGAGATTCTTCAAATTAATGATAGCAACATAGATAGAAATCTTATAAGAATTAACGAAGAAAATAACAATAATATGAACATCAAAATAAGAAAAAGCTCACTTCAGGAAACGTTGACTCGCATGAAGAATCTTGTGCTTTACATTAAAATTGGTGCTAACATGGCGAGGAAAGGGGAACGAAACGTGTGAGACCTTATTCAGAAGGAGAATGACGATATGAAGCTCAAATGACATGGAACCAAAAGGGTTATCCTAACTCCATGGCAGAGGAAGTTTTTGTTGTTATCAACACTCTCACGGTGCCTCGATTTTTTGGTTTGAGAAAAATTCATCTGTTGACGGACTACAAAGAAGTTGTAACCATGATGAATGAGAAAGAAGGTAGAGGCGTTAACATTGTGAATATAACACATAAGGATTGTTTGGTCTCTCAAATCAAGAAAATTTTACATTCTTTTGAGTTAGGTACCATTGGACACATCAAACAGATCCATAACACCCAAGTCCATAGACTAGCCTATAGTATCATTACAACCACAAACTAGACTCATTTTAAAACATCCAATGATAATGAAACTAAGGCCTTCAAGGCTATTTTTCAATAAATGAATTGAGTTTTCCTATTTAAAAAATAAAACAATTTTACATCACATTTTTTGCATTTAAAATTAAATGCACATGTCTATACATTTCTCACTTTTTTGCATTTAAAATTAAATGCATGTCTATTTTTTTTATTACATGTCATTTATATTATTGATATGTCATGTTTTATAAACTTTTTCCACATATCAATAAAAATAATCATTGTTTAATAAATTTTATTTTATTTTTAATATATTTAATTATTTGTCACATGCATTTAAATTTTCTCTCTTTCTAATAAATAATTAGAGATAATTTTGATAAAAATACAATTAATACTACCTTAAATTTTGTTAGTGGCAATTAAAAAGGGGAAAAAAAATATTCTAAAAGTATCACTTAAAAAGAAACGAAAGGATTAATAATTTTAGCATGTTTAAAAGTGAACTTAAAAAGAAACGAAAGGATTAATAATTTTACCATGTTTAAAAGTGAACATGTCATTGAGTGTAAAAATGTGAGAATCAAAACTCTTGAACATGTCATAGAGTGTAAAAATGCGAGAGAATCAAAACTCTTTGTGTGAATCGATTAATTCTGTAAGTCATTTTAGAATAAAAGGATTACTAAATTCATTGTTTGGATTTACAAAGACCAATTACATCCGTCTAAAGTATTTAGCACAGATTCTCTATTTCTAACATATCTAGAAGAGTTAGATCATTCTCCCGCAAACAAAGCAACAGCTCTGACCACAAAAGTAGAAGCAGTTACAATCAAGGCAGCAAAGATTGGAGGAACAATTAAATCAATGTTAGACTTCACAAACAAATGAGAAGGAAAACATAGAATCTCTCCAGGAACATCCAATGGCATTCTAATCAACCCATCGTTTTCACACTTCTGAGAGAACAAAGAAGAATGAGAAATCACTGAAACAAACGTAACCTGCGGTGAGATTGACGCCACTGCCACTGTTATGGTTAAGAGTGTTACCCAAGTGGTTGCATAGGTGAGTATTGGCCATGGTGTTGTCAAGTGTAAACGGAACAAGTTAGAGAGGAAAAGAGACATTTTGAGGAGATGAATGAAATTGTTAGTTGGTGTTTCTTGGGTGGATACTTATGGTTCTTAAAACTGGTGTGAAAATACCTAATCTGACAACTACTTTTGAATTTTGAGGATGTTGGTATGAAAAATGGTGTACAAAGGACCAATGATTTGAGATTCATATTGATGGTTTTGTTGACCAAGTTTGGTGGTGTTGAATTTTGAGGATGTTATTATGGTGGGTTTGGTTTAGCTGTAGATAAAGTAACTCACTTTAGAGAGTAAAACAAACAGATATTAACAAGAAATCAGTGATTAATATTAAATACACGTATATCAAATCATTGGTGGATGAAGGAAGTATCAGCATTTAATTTTTCTCACTTCGCTAGTTATCTACAACTTTAGAGAAGCATAATCCAAAATAACTTGTACATGTGAGAGAGAGAATTTTCATTCTGTGAACATCTTACTACCTCATCCTGAATATTCTTCAGAATATAACAAATAGCCACATGAACTAGTAAATTATAACGTACTTCAACAAAATCTGTACAATTGAATCAACTGAAGGCAATGCGACCATAACAGAAAGATGATGACAGATCGTAAAAGAAACATCATATTCAGTCACTGGTGGAGGGTGATGATGCATTCCCCAGCTTAAGAGCCAACCATAGAAAACTGCAGAATGACAAACATAGTAGAACCAACATGACTATGATAACTGCTTGGAATGAAATGTATGGGGCCACAAAGAACACGATAGCAATCGTAGCGCTTTGCCATATCTTTAGCTGTGCAAAAGCCCCTTCCTGCACCACAGTAATATCGATTTGACATTAGAGATATTGGGAAAAAATAAAATGATCAAGAAATGAATCAAGCAAAAAGCATATGCACAATATGAGAACAATAAATAACCATATGACAAATTAAAATGTGTTTCTGCGTAATTGAAGGGTTAGATTGCATTTGTGTACCATGTCATGCTTAAATAGCATTCCTAGCAAAGCATTGAGTTGTGTCATTAGAACCCCATCACCTATGCCCAATAAAGCAGCCAAAAAGAGTATATATAAAGTACCGAGAAATCCGCTAGATATGCTGCATCAGGAGCGCCAGAGAAAATATAGGCTAAATTAAATTACATGTGGAAAATAATATCCATAAACACCAGCCAAACATAAAGAATATTGCGAACCTGAAATTTAGCAGTAGTAATATTAGTACAACCGCCTGAGCAAAAGCTCCAAAAGAAACTATTGATGTAATGGATGTGAGACCAGAGGTGAGACGACCAGCAGCCAGAGAACACTGATATATTTAAAGAATTAAGACCAAAAAAAAAAACAGTTAAAAGAAGAAAGAAATGCTCGCAAGCATGACGTAATCAAGTCACTTTCGAACCACCACTCAAGGAACTACAATTTTGCATTTCATGTCAATACTTACTATTCCATCAAAAGCTCCATATGATGCCATTGCAATACCAACACCGGAGACACCAATTGCCGGAGTTACAACGTACTTGGTAAATTCCGCCCTGTGAAAAAGTATTTCAGTAACAAACATTACAAAATAGACAGGAAAGAAAACAAGAACTTATAGAACCATTATTGAAGATCATGAGGAAGATAACTTATGGTTCATATGAAATTACCAAACAAATGCTTGTTGTAGACCTGAATATGCCATAAGGGGTATGATCAACAACATCTTCGCATCCGACAATGCACTTGTGAGTGATCTACATAGAGACTTAAGGGACTTTGATTCACCAGCATCAGCTTCTGAATGCCCGTATCCTTCCTTACTATTACCACTCCGTTTATGTAGGAAGCACATTAGTATTGCACCAAAGCTCATAACGAAAAGGAATACAACAAACAACAAAGTTGTGCCTTTGGTACTTCCCCCCTGCAGTGATGAGAAACGAAATCAAATCCAAAGAATATGTAAAATATTCTAAATCAAAACGTGTTAGCATCTGAAATGAGAATTCATTGTTTAAGGGATCAACAAAAAACCAACTCATATTGATATTGGGTTTCCTTGAAAAAGTTTGCATATTGTAGCAAATGTTTATCAAAAGCTATGTGTTTTTCTAACAGAAATATCAAAGCTCAACTAAATTTGGAACAAGGCTTCTGTCAATCATAAACTTATTTTCCTTCATAAGAAGCAACTTTTCATTTGTAACTGCCACAAAACGGACAAACATGAAAAATATTATAACTTGTAGTATTAAAGCAAAAAGATGACACAAGAGTATTTACAAAATATGAAGACCAACCACCACATACCTGCCCATCACTGAGTAGAGCAAATGTAACAAGATTTCCAATAAACTGCAAAAAAAAGATTTAAAAATAATCAATTTTGAAATGTAAGTAGTTTTAATTTAAAGAAACATAAACAATGAAATCAGCAGTTTTGAGTTATAAAATGATGACCTGATGAAGCGCATAGACACCCCAGAATTCGCCGTTGAAGTCACCAATGACTGTACCTTGGTGGAAATTGTTATCTATAGCATGACTGCGTGCAGTGGAAGTCAGATAAGTTCCCTGTCCAACCCATATTATAGAAGCACAAAACCCAAGATACACAGAAGCCGGAACCAGTGTATACCTGCATAACACTCACTCAAATAAGTTAGAATCATGTTTATGTTATTGACAGCATGAAAATGAAAAACAAGATAAGTCTCCCAGTTGCAGTTACCAATTGGGGTTCAAATTGGCAGCGACGTAGAGGCAATAACCGGAAGTTCCAATAATCAAAGCATTCTTAGATCCGAGAATCCGAACCACCAAAGAAGCAAACAGAGAAAAAAACGTAAACGACAAATAAAGTATCCCAAGCGAAGTCGTACCCAAATCCTCCTCCTAAAAATTCAAAAACAATCACAATTACTCACCACCTTTCAAATTCAATAATAGAGTAACTAAATAGAAATGAAAACTAACAGTGTTGAGAGTGCTCTGTAAATTTTGAGCAGCTCCATAAGCAAGAAAGATCAATAAAAACGCTAAGCTCAAAATATGAACATCTCTGCTATGGCTTTTGTGTGGTTCAACTCGAAGCGGTGGTTCATCGGCGACAACCAATGGAGTTTCTTCATCGCGACGACTAATTGCAGAAGCCATTGGTTCAAGTTCTAGATCCAGTTTATGGATATTTATATATATACATAGAAGAAAGATCGAAAACCTAATAATAAATTGGTTGCGTCACGACCTTGAAGCCTTAACAGAAAAATTGCCGGCACGATGCATAGAAGAATTGGAAATTAGTGAATAAGAAATTGTGGTAAGTAAAGATTCGGAATCTTGTAATAGTTCCTTTGAGTTTGATTCTTCTTATTCTTATCTATTTATTGTTGACCCTTTTTCTGTTTCATTTTCAAATGTCTTTATTTATTTTATTTGTTCATTGTCCAGGGTTTGGGCATCATGTCCCCATACCACAATTTTAAAAAATCCCCCTCAGCGAGACTAAATTCGCGTGGACATCAATATTGATATTCGTATTCATTTTATTGTTGATTTTTTTTCTGTTACATTTTTAAATGTCTTTATTTATTCATTAATTAGCGTTCGGTCAAGGTATTATAATACTCGATTTCATACTGTAACTTAAAAAAAATCTCTGTCTCTGAATTTAAATCTGTGTGGACATTAATATTGACATTCGTACTCATATTCTATACATATTTCAATATTCATATTTGTATCTATTTATCAGTATTTGTGTAAAATTAAAATAATTAATTATAAAATATCATTTAATTTAAGTTTTTTTTTAATATTAAAAAATTATAGATTTATTGTTGTCTTAAAGAAATTATTTAAATGTGTAATAGTTTAATAATAATATTTTTTTTAAAATTAAAAAACATATTTTTTATATAATAATATAAATAATAGTAGAAAAATATGTAATGTAGATATGAGATGGAATGAATAGTAATGTATATGTGCTTATACTTATATCTGTTTATTTTAATCGATAATTATCTGTGTTTGTACTTGTATTTATTTTTATAGATTTTTATCTTATTTATTGTAGATATTTTTGTGAATATTATTGAAAATGGATTAAATTATCCTTCCTAATTATCCTAAGTTTCACCGTCCAGTAAGATTTGTCATTTTACTTAAATTTATAAGCCATTTTACTTAAATTTATAATCAAATCATTCTACTTTTGATTAAAGAAGTTACATTTAATAAATTTCAAAATGTTAAAAAAAGAAATCTACTATGATTTATTGATTCAGATTAGTGTTAGACTTGATAAAGAGGAATAGCCATTCTAATAAATTGAATATTCACGATGAAACCAAAAACATAAAACAAATATCTCCTACATCTAGTATTTGTCACTATCATTGCATCATTCTGGTACATACTTTATTTTATTATATTACTTTTAAAAAATTAGATTAAAAAATTAAAAAGCATGGATAAGGAAAAAAAATACAAGCAAGTGATGGAAAGGAGCACGGATAAGAATTGCAAATGAATATCCAAAATGTTTCCATGTTCAATGATCAAATAGATTGAAATTCAAAGAAAGAAAATACTTTTTGAGATGACTATAATATTGAATAACTTACATTTTAAATCACTTTCAAAATGAGGAATTTAAGAGAGAATTGTGTGATGTGCCTTGAAATCATGTATGCTTCAAGGGTTATGTCAAGATATATGTCAATTGTAACTCAGTAATACAATACCCCATGCTCAATCTCTTTTTATCAATTTGATCTCTAACGAAATGGTACCTTCTTTTTATGTGCTTGCTTTTACCATGACGTATAGGATGGTTTATCGAATTAATTGTTGACTAATTATCCACTAGCAACTTGATTTGCACATAGTTGTTCACATTCTACTCTTCAAGAAAACATCTCCAACTAAAGGGCTTGACATGCAATATAGAAGGTTGCAACATACTCTCTCTCTCTCTCTCTCTCTCTCTCTCTCTCTCTCTCTCTCTCTCTCTCTCTCTCTCTCTCTCTCTCTCTCTCTCTCTCTCTCTCTCTCTCTCTCTCTCTCTCTCTCTCTCTCTCTCTCTCTCTCTCCATAAATCTACTAACCAATCCACGTATGATAAAAAGCAGGCATTGTATTGCAAAGATACCTCAATGAGTCAATGATCTGATTATACAATGTTTTATCCACTCATTCATCTTTTGAATCCTTCTTCAATTTGATGTTGGTCTTCATAGGTGTGTTTGCAGGATTGCAATTGATCATCTTGAACTTCTTTAGGATGTCTTCTATATATTTCTTCTGATGCAATAAAACTTCATGCTTTGTATTCACATTCTCCATTCTTAAGAAGTAGGCAAAATTTCCTTCGTTTGACATCTCAAACTCATTATACATGTTTTCCTTGAATTTTACCAATTCATCTTCAATAGAACCTATGACCAATAGATCACTCACATAGAGATATAAGATGACTTGGTCTTATTCACTTGAGTATTTCACATACACTCCATGTTCTTATGTGCACTTGTTAAAACCTAGCTTGATCAAGAAGTTATAATTCTCTTGTTTCATGCCATAGGTTTCTGCTTTGATTCATACAATGCTTTTCTCAACATGTACATCATTTTCTCCTGCCTTTTCACCTCATGGTGGTTGCTTCACATAAACTTCTTCTTCTAGAGGTCTATTGAGGAAGGTTGACTTCAAATCCTTTTGGTGCATCCAATCTCTATATGTCGCAATGGCTACAACCAATTTTATGGTTTCAAGTCTAGCAGTTTGTGCATAGACTTCATTAAAATCAATGTCAAGTTTTTGAAGAAAACCTTTTTGCCACCATTTTTTTCCTTATGCTTTGAAATTTCCGCTATTTAGCTTCAGATTTGGATTGTAAATCCACCTAACATCTATTGCCTTCTTAACTGAATAATTGAATAGTTTCTAAGATTTTTTTCTTTTCAATGGTCTTGATCGCTTCATTCATTGCACTTTGCTAATTCTCATCTTTCATGGCTTGAACATTATATATTGGATCTTATTCAACCATTATGGCTTCTTCAATTAGATCACTATTTTATTTTGTGGCTTGATTTAGAAATCTATCATAATCATTTAGTTTGGAAGATTGAGTTTTAGCTCTTTTTGATCTTCTCGCCTCTTGAAGTTGTGCAGGTTCAGCCTCAATCTCTACTTCTTGTTCATCATCTTTAAGAGTGGTTCTAATTTGACTTAAACCTTCACCTTCCTACATTGAGTTGATAAATTGACATCCTTTACATTCATCAAATTCCACATTACTACTAATCACCACCTCGTTCTCATTTGGTGAGAACAACTTGTGGGCACCTATGGAGTGGTAGCCAACCAAGAGCATGGTTTGGCCACTATCACCAAGCTTCCTTCTGAGTTTCTCAAGTACATGTATGTAACATAATGAGCCAAAAATATTAGTGTCTAACACTTGGTTTTAGGCATGGACAAGCTTCATATGGAATCTTGTTTTGCAATTTCTTGTTTGTATATTTATTGATGGTGTAGAGAATAATTGAAGTAGCCTCACCCTAAAAATGATTTGGCATTTTCTTTTCCTTAAGCATGCTTCTAGCCATGTTCAGGATACTTTTATTTTTTCTCTTAGCAATTCCATTATAAATTCATGTTGAACTCATTATTTTTTACAAAACTAAGAAAATTCAATTAAGGTGTAATCACCATCACCATCAGTTATCAACATTTTGATTGCACATTCAGCATGTTTCTCAACTAGCATCTTGAATCTCTTGAAATTGGTGCACACCTCACTTTTAGTCTCTAATAAGTAAATCCACATATATATAGTGAGTTCATCTATGAAGGTTAAGAAGTAGAAATTATATTCTCGTGACTTCACTTCAAAGGAACCACACTCATCTGAGTGCACAATCTCCAATTTTTATTGTGACTTTATTGGCGAGTCGTGTTTGAATAACCTTATTGCTTTCCTGGGAATGCAGGGTGTAACACCCCAATTTTTGATATATTGAAATTATTTGATTTATTATGAATTTTGTGTATTTATTTAATTATTGACTAATATTAATTAAATAAATATGGGTGATAGGAGTGTGTGAACCTATAGTGGGAGTGTGGGAGTAATTAGAAGGAGGAGAGGTTGATTAAATATTAGATTTTATTTTAATAATTAAAATAATAGTATTTTGTTAGATTTATTTAATTTAAATAGAAAATAAAGAAATTGGGCCAATAGTGTAAATTATGAGAAGTGGGAAGGAGGAAGGAGTAAGAGAGATGAGAGTGAAGGTAAGAATTATAATTAGTAGAAGATTTACCCTAATGATATAAATTAAGAGTCTAACCTAAGTTTATGAGCTTTTGATCAGTATGTAGACAAAACCAAGATTGTGAGAAAGAGGCTAGAGGCAAAAGGGGGAACTTGGAGCTTTGGGTGAGAGGAGACCATTCAAACCAATTCAGATTTTTGCTTGCTAGAAATTGAGGTGAGGGGGAATTGATTCAATAATAGGTATACGCTTAAAGGATGGAATTGAGGAGTCATTAACCTCCAATAGACTTATATGATTATGATAATCCATTGGTGTTGTGATATACTTTTCATAATGAAATTTATCTACATGTGTGTGGGAATAATTATGTTTTGATGTATTAATATGTGTTGCCACTGTTGTTGTTTTGAAGGTTTTGAGGCATGATAAAAGTAGTGATTAAATGTTGATTATACAAGATAATTTATAGGAATAGGTTGTTTGTGTTAGAACAAGATTTGGTTCTGCAATATTATCTCTGAGTTTTGATGATAACAAATGAGTATGTTTGTATGAACAATTTTGATACTCTAATGTTTTTTTATTTTTGAGTATTTAACAAACATGTTCTAATTCTAATGGATGGCATGGCCAAGACATTAGAAGAGAATTAGTTCTGCTTCTGTGCTACACAAGTTTTGGTGAACAATAGCAAGACACTTCAGAAGATTCAGAAGTGTAGGCTCTAATATTTATCTAAAGAAAAAAGTCAGAAGATCTGAAGATAGAATTTCTACTTAAGTTCTAATGTTGAAGACTCATGCTTCTAAAGACAATATGTTCTAAAAAAACCAGTAAGAAGATCTGAAGATAGAAGTTATACTG